AGGAGAATAAAAAGGAGCTGAATGAGAGATCTATCCACCTAAATCAAGGAAGTAAATAATGACCAGGAAGAGGTGTTGCTGAGTACTATCCTTCCACATTCCTATAATGCCAATAATTATTTATCACAAGTCTGCTTATTGTCGAATAGAATTTTGAAGTGAAAAAAAAACATTTCTATACTTCTTTTTATCATACTTGTTAATGTTTTATTTATATTTAAACGTTGTTGTTGTATATTTATTGTATTGTGTTTGTTCAAGTGATAACTACATATTACATTATGTAATGTTTAAACAAAACTTATCATGGCATTCACGATACACGATTACTTTGATAAAGAATGCCAAAGGAACAAGTGGACAACCACTATAAAATATAACACATATCAACTATGACAGTTGCCTGAGCACTGAAATATTCCAGCACTTCTAAGGAAGAAGACAAAACACACGACAATAAACCGAGTAAGTCTACTATCCGATTACTTTCCATTCTTTATAACACCTTTTTTGTAAAAATAAAATATTAGTATCTTTAATTTATTTTGTAACATATTTTTAATGATGGTGTGATAAGAATATTTTATTTTAATTGATTAGATGATGATTTTAGTTTCACTTATCCATATATGTAATATATAGTAAGGGTAAGTATTGCGATCGTTAAAATTTCCGAATGTGAGTCTTTAACGAAAATATACGTTTTAAGGTCTTCTGATACCAAATAACCAAGTCCCATAAAATGGTCTGTGTGTGTGTGTGTGTGTGTTATGTATGTTATCAGTATAGCTCAAAAACGAAAACTTGTATGAAAGTGAAATTACATATCTAATTTTTTTATAAGCTTTCGATGTTACAGCAACCTTTTCTTCCAAAATCAGAAAACTGAAAGTAGTACTTTATAATTGATTTAACGCATTTCTCAAAAACGGCTTTAACGATTATGATTAAACTTCAGAACTTATATGGCTAATTTTTAATATTGGCTTCCTCTAAAGTACCTTTATTTTTTAAATGTGAAATAATTAACCAATTCGCATTAATCTTGGATAAAAAAATAGTTAAATATAAAATATGAAAGAATTTGATAATTAACTAAAGAAGAAATTAGAGATCGTAACGGATGATAGTTGTAATAGAGGAATCAAATGAGTACGAGCTTGTCCGAGCTTATCCGGGCTCTTTCGAAAGATTACAACAGGCTTCCATTCGTAACATGAGCTTCATAAAATACGGACTCCGACAATATTTTGTGCATATACATTAAAATTCAATTCAAATTTGTACATATGAGATAATTTAAAAAATACCCACAATGAATTGTAAATAAATATACCGTCAAAAAATTTTATTTTCACGTCCCATTTGTCTGAAAATACTGATTTCTACTAAGAAGAAGAGTAAGCGAAAGTCATGCGATGCGTGCTCCAGATTTTTTCAAAAAAATATTTCTGATTGAATAATACATTTTGTAATATTAATAGTAGTGATACTGGAGATCATATATCATATATATATATATATATATATATATGTATATGTGTCTTAGTTCTTAATGGTCAAGGTCTGGAGGATGATTATTCTAGACAAAATTTCCAACAAAACAATAGTTTCATTTGATTAGTTTTAAACTTTAGTTCATTTGAAGCATGGGCCGATTTTGTGTTAACTGAATTATAAGAACACCATCATAAAGTAAACAAACTTATTATTGATAAAACAATGATTAAATTTACTAAGTTCAATGATATAATAAACTTTCAGGTCTAATATGGCTGCTGTACTACTGCGGTTACACTAGCCATAGATGAGCAAAATATCTCTGTATTCTCGATTTGTACGCAGTCGTATTAGACCTCCTGAAAGTTTCATTGAATTTATTTAGTAAATTCAATTACTGATTTTTTAGGAAATACTATTTTGTCGACTTTACAATGGTGAGATTAAAATTTAGATAACTTAGATACTTTTTGAGCGATTTCTTCTTATTCAATACTTGCTTATTATCCTGTTACTACCTAAATGAAGACACAAAATTGGTCTTTATCTGTTTGCAATCGGCCAAATCATCAAAGAACTTTTTGTTGGAAATTTTGTATAGAATTGTCCGCTCTCCATCCCTCCTCCCATTGGTCATTAATAACTGAGACACCCTGTATATATATATACATCAGTTTTATATATAAGGTGTACCGTAAGTAGAGGAAAATATTTAAAAGGTTTAAGTAGGTATCAAAATCAACAGAAAAATGACCTATAAACAAATGAATTGTGTTCATCCTTAAGACAGGAATGTAATGTATATAACCACGTTTCATTATATTTTTTGAATTTGTCCAAAGTCAACACTAACTAAAACACAAACCGCGTTTCCTAATAAAATTGTACCGAGAGGTTTTTGTGGCGTTCCTGTCGATATTTTGTGTAATTACGTATTAATTATGCAAGATAAAATTATTTTATGTATATATAAAAACTTTATTTTGAACTTTTTATTCCTCTGGCAATGTCTGTTACTGTCCCGCCATCAAATTATCAACAATCGTCGCCCCCTCCTATAGCTATGATCTTCTCCAATTCAAGCCCTTTGTCCACTCTCTCGCCACAAGATCCCGACCACCTGAACTTAATACTTCTTTTCACAGATCTGCCTCTTTCCAAAACTCCTTCATTGTCCGCTCTGCTTCTTTCTCTTCTTCCCTACTTTTAAAAATTCATTTAACAAAAGCATTTAAACACTGTCTCAGAACAAAGTTATTTTTCTATCTATCTATGTTGGAATATTGTAGCTCGTTTCAGTGTAGTCTCAGCTTTGTAAAGATGAAGAATTCCTTGTTTTATACTTAAATCTTTATGTAAAATATAACGTATTTATTATAATGTACATATTCTTGGCTTACAATAAATTTGACATCTACCTCGGTATTAAGCAAATATGATATCAAGGAGAAGAAATAATAGAATAATAATAAGAAAAAGAACTGTGAACAGTATGTAAAATATATGAATTTATTTTTTGATAAATATTTTTGATAAAATGAATAATAGTGAAATTAAATTTATACTTTACAATAAAATTAAAAAAAAAATTGTGGGAGATAATTGTTTTTATATTGTTGTTGTTTTTTATTCAAACCATTGCATCTATGAAAATTGTATGTAGCCACCGTGTATCATTTTTAAATTGTTAAATACTTCCAGTTAAATGAATTGATTATTAACGGTTACTAAAATTGGAATGTACAAAATATCAATAAGTGATTAAAAAAGAAGATATAATGGGGACGAAATTGCTGACAGTAGACAATATAATTGAAAAGTTAATTACAATTGCAGTCAAACAGAACACAAATAAAAATAAATGATTTTTATTTTTATTTTGTGCCGACGTTGAATTGAATGACCCGGTCTTACACGCTTTATTTTGTGTAAAATCGCATAAATCAATTCAACGTCGGCACTAAATAAAAATAAATGATTTTTATTTTGTTTTGGCTGTCTGTAATGCCAACCACGGAAAAAGGTAAAAAAAAAAAAAAAAAAAAAAACGAAAATAGGAATAATTTTTAATTAATTTTCGAGATGTAAGTATCTTGATTGATAAAATATAAAGTTTTGGGAAGCGTTGACATTTTTTTCCTTCTTTGTCCTTTAGCTCAAAATGTTTCAACTTGATCTTTTCCGGTTATCAGATTATGAAACTTATAATTCACAACCGCGTTAAGTCGTTCCCAAATCAATTAATAATGAACAACGAAAATCATATGTCAAATAAACACAAGTGTATTTAGTTAAGTTAGGGAGAGTTATTAACTGAAAACACATCATAACGTTTGAGTTACCATTAAAATAGTTGCTGATTAAAATTTTTAAATGAAATATTGTATCGAAATAATTGTGTGATAAATATTAATAGAATGGCCCATTATTTCCTGCATGCCTCCCTGAGAAATGTTGTTGTTACATCTTCTAAAAATCAGTGCAAGTGAAATTACAATTGGAAAATTTGTAGTTCGTTTACAATTACATCCTCTGTGACCTGTTCCATATTACTTTTCTAATTCTTTGAAAGTTCTTACAAATTGAAATTCTAAAAAATTATGGATTTATCTTAAATTCATAACTCCGTCAAATTGGCACCTTTGAAAATTCAAAACACGAAACTGTCAAAATTCACTCTCTTCGAAATTTTGATAGCGCACCCTACGGCAGACCATTTAGGATAACGCAGTGCTGGTAACGAAGTAGTGAAAACATAACTCACTTGAGATTTCTCTGCATGATTTTGAATCAAACGTAATATCAATTATAATGATAAAAGCTGTAATTAGTAGTGTGTAAACATATTTATATTATAAAAAAACAGCATTAAGCGTAAAAAATAATTCTATAATTAATGATATATAAATTAGAGAATGGATGAAGGGAACCACCATTTATTATATATGTTTTCATAAATATACGATCATAGTTCTGGCTAAGTTATGATTATATCAATATAATATACTATTTTTTTTGTTTAGTAGTAATTAATATTGAATCAAGAATTTCCAAATTATTAGCACTGTTTTTTAGTCAGCGTGGTTTATTTATGAAACTTAAAAAATAAATATTCAGTTCATTTTAATTTACTCTTTTTTTTTCTAAAGTATATTTCTATTGATGACAACATGATTTTATTTATTAACATAAATATATTCACGAAACCTAAATTATTCAAAACAAAATTACAAAATAATAGATAACATTCGCAAAAATTATTTTATTAATTTTATTTTTTACGACTCATACGCCCTACCTTTCGATGCTCTTAAGAAGAAACGAAACAGTAACATATTATATAAGGTTTGTAATTATTATTGATACTCTTTATTATTCCAAAGAGGTTAAAACAGTATTAAATTAACTCAGTGGAAAATGAGGTATCTACTATGATATCATAGAAGACTATACCTAATTTAAAAGAAGAGTAAAATTAAAGAATCGACAACTTTTCTGACCTGATGTATCGATCGAGGAGATATCGATGTTGTAGCCGGCTCTGCGAACGGCTTCCATGGTCGTCAGCTCTCGAGCTCACAGAAGGTACTGAAGCTGAATTTCCCCACCGCTGTACTCTTAAGAGGGGCAAGTAGCTTCTGATACTGTCACTGCGAGGGTCACCGGCCTAAATCGTATAGTATGTTTACATACATACACTTATCTGTATATAAAATGTATGACAAGATTAAGTATTGCGATCGTGTAAATTTTCGAATATGAGTTTTCAACAGAAATACCTGTTTCGAGGTCTCCTGAGTCCAAATAACCAAGTCCAGCAAAATGGTCAGTGTGTGTTTCTGTATGTGAACAGTCTAACTAAAAAATGGAAAGTCGTATGAAACTGATATTACGTATTTAAGATAGGTATATGCCTTAAATGTAACATAAACTTTCCCCTTAAAATCGGCTAACCGGAAGTGCCACTTTGGTCAACAGTGAAACACATTTTTACAATTTTCTCAAAAACGGCTCTAACGATTATGAACAAATTAGGTCAAGCATTGTATAATTGTCTTAGTGTGTATAATTGTATAGTGGTCTTAAATATCATTTAGGTCTTATCAGCGTTGATGTCATTTTAGGGCTTAAATGCCCAATATTCATAAACATCTTCCTCTTAAGTGCCTTTAATATGGTTTATTTTAAACACAACTCTCTTTTATTGACAGGAACTATAAAGAGTAGCTAAATATGAAGTTTGAAAGAATATGATAAATGAAAACTGAAGAAATAAAGAAAATGCTTATCCAGATTGGAAATAACAGTCAGGAGGTACACGTATAATATATCATTGGAAATCGGAGAATTTTAGAAAAAATAATAATAAATAAATAAATTTGTAGAAGGTAAGGTAGATTGACGAAAAAAATATAAATAATAATTTCATGAAACTAACATTATTTAATGTAAATCACACGTTTTCTATGAAATTAAATGAAATTTTCTTGCTAAATGTAAACTTTCAAAGTTTTTGAAAAAAAAAGTATTTGAAATCATTTAAGTCTTATACTCGTTGATGTCACTTAACAGAGCTTAAATGCCCAATGTTCGTGTACATCTTCCTCTAAAGTACTTTTAATATGGTTTATTTAAAAAAAAAACTCTGTTTTATTGACAGAAACTATAAAAAGTGGCTAAATATGAAGTTTGAAAGAATACGATAAATGGAAACTGGAGAAAAAAAGAAAATGCTTATCCTGGTTGAAAATGATTCTCTGGAAATAACAGTCAGACGGTATATGTATAATATATCGTTGGGAACCGGAGAATTTTAGAAAAGATAATAACAAATAAATAAAGTTGTAGAAAGGAACGCAGATTGACGAAAAAAATATAAATAATAATTTCAGAAAAATCACATTATTTAACATAGATCACATGTTTCCAAGGAAATTAAATGAAATTATCTTACTAAATGTAAACTTTTAAAGTTTTTTCTAAGTTTGAAAAAAAGTATTTGAAATCCACCGAATCATACAAATGTCATTGTTTAAAACACTATTTAACTGTACTAGTGTGAAAAAAGAAGTGAAATATAAAAATATTTCATGGATATGTATATGATATTATATTTAAATAATTAGGTAGCTATTGGCTGTTTATTCCAAAAAATAATCAAGTAATCTTTTAGGAAATTAAATTAATGAATAATTTCATGAATTTTCCTTTTATGAAATCCCAAAATTATCCAGTTTAAATTAGTGTGGCAACTTTTGACCTATACATTGCAAGCTATGAAAATCTCGTAATTTCACTTTAGTAAACTTTGCAACGGAAAATAACAGTTAAATAACTAATAGTCCTTCAATGCATAACCATTTATAGGTTAAATATACAAATTTTCTTTCAAATCTCTCTATTCATATATGAACTATGTAAAAAAAATATTCTGCCAACTGAAAGGCTGAGACGAAAGAGACTACGTGGTTTATAAAACTAAATTTTTATTGCCTACTGTTGATATAATAAATAGACTTTTGGGAATTTTAATGGTCTTAATGATTTGTTATCTGTAAGCTTTAAGCTATAGCTCTGTTTAAAATAGACAACAAAATTTTATAATACCCCGACATTGCCAGAAAATAATTTCTATTCAAAGTAGGGGGGTAAATGAACGGTGTGTGTTGCCCGCACCAGATTTTGTTTTTTATTTTTAAGGTTTTATTTTTAAAAGTATTGACAATTTTTACGGAGCACATTTGTTCATGAACTTAAACATGGGCTATGGATACCCACAATACAACCCATAGATACCCATTTGCTACCCATGAAATTATTCATTAATTTCATTTACTAAAAGGTTACTTGATGATTTTTTTTAATAAACAGCCAATAGATACCTAATTATTTAAATATAATATCATATCTAGAATTAGTCATTGAAATTCTCGTAATTTTAAGGCATTACTAGAAAAAAAAATCACAGCCGTTGAAGCAAATCGTAAAATTAAATATGAAGGGGAAGATGGCCTTGACCAGCACTCTGTGTGGCGTTGGTTTGAAAAATTTAGCAGTGGAGATACGACGTTGGAAAGGAAGAAGGGCCGTGGGCTACCATTAATGATTATTGATGAGGTTCTGCTAGAAGCTATTGAGTAAAATACGTCCACAAGTACTCGCGAACCTGCCAGGAAGTGTGGTGTGTCGAAAGATACTGTTATTGGCCTTCTACTCTACATGGGGAGGGTGAAAAAGAGCAAATAGAATGGTCCCTCACGAACTTACTCTTCAGCAATTAGCTAAGAGGTTATACATTTGTAAAGAATTATCCGAATACCCGTGAGAAATGGGTAGATCGCAGTCAAACTGCGTTTTCGGTTGCTACAAGTGAGGGAGGGAGGATTTTAAAAAAAGAATCCATGCTTTGCGTTTTTGGAATTTTAAAGGTGTTATTCATGAGAAATCGTACCCGAAGTTGTCAGAGTGTTACCCTGCATGCTCAACAGAAAAAGGAATTTTATTTCAACAAGATAATGTTCATCCTCACTTTTCCTGTCGAACCAAAGAAAATTTTAAAGAACTTCATTGGGTCGAACTCTTACCTCATTCACTATATAGTACACACCTCGCACCATCGGATTACTACTTATTTAATTCCATAATCCATTTTCTTCAAGGGAAAAAAATTGATAATTTAACGGAAGTTGAAATTGCGGTCCAAGAGTTCTTTGACAGCCATCCCAAAGAATGATATCAGCGTGTGATCGAGCAATTGTCTATAATATAACTAATGACGGTAGATAACAATGCACTATACTTTGAGTATTAATTGTATTTTATTTCATAGAAATAATAATACAAATAATTGGTTCGAAAACGACATTTTTTTTCTATACACCCTATTACTTGCAAAACGCTACGATAATTTCTTTAATTAAAACTACTGCACGATCTCGTCAAATCTGTAATTCCACGATTGAACTTGAAATTGGACTATTATCCGTATTAAATAGATGGTCATCGTGGTCAGTTAGTAGTTTTCAGTAAAGGTTTGTTATTCATGTTTGGTAATTTGACCTCATTTATAATGATAAGAAAATTTATAATGGTATTTTTTAGTGAAAGCACTACTGTTCCTTCACTTATCACTTTATATATATATATATATATATATATATATATATATATATATATACAAAAAAAACTCAGACCAAAACCATTATTATCGACAATACAGCGTATTCTACTTTCTTCACATGTTTTAATTTATTACTTTCCTACCTATACTAGATAAGGAAAGTATTGCGATCCGGTCAAATTTGTGATATGCGATTTCCGACGGAACCATACGTTTCAGATATCCCTGACGAAACTCCTTACAAAACTATATAAAAATCGTTCATTTTGGAAGTGAACGAACAATAGTGCTTTCACTAACCAATATCATTATAAATTTTCTTGGTACTTGTTAAGATTAACTAGATGTATAAAAGGATTCACGAAACCGTATCAAATACATCTATGTTACCTTATATTTATAGAAAAAAATAAAACTGCATGTATCTCTGTTACGGCTATTACCATTTTTAACATATTTATTTTATCAAAATATTATAAAATATTTAATGTGTCGCATCCATTACTTTGATACGTTTTATATCTGCACATAATATCGTTCTATTCATTGTAAAACATCGAATACTTCATTTCTGATTGTTTGACGTGGTTTAGTTTTATAATACAATTGTGTAGCAATTTATTGAATTTGGCTTATTGAAATTTATTTTGCATTGACAATTATTTAAAGTTTTCTTAAATTATGCAATGCCAATTAGCGAATATACTGTATTAACCAGTTAGTATTTCAAAAAGTGAAGAATTTATATCAGACTATGAATGCAATGTAACAAAAGTATATACAGTTAATTGGTACTAATGCTTTTAAACAGGAAATACATAACCTCTAAACATTCATAAAAGCACATATTATAGTAGAAATTATAATATTCTTGTTGTTTGGACTGACTTGTTAATGATATTAAATAGATAGATAGATAGATAGAAAGTAAACTTTATTCTGGGACAAAGTCCCTTATGAATAACAGATATGAACAAAGAAATAAAATCTACATCTGGCCAAAAATTACATTAATCAATATTAAAGAATATATACAGTATCTTCAGTGAAGTTAAATTAAAACAAGTAAAAATAAAATAAAATTTTGAGAAAAAACGAAATAAAAAAAAAACATTATTTAAATGAAAAAAAATAAAATAAGCATGGGTTGATTTTTAAAATTAAGACTCAATAAATTTAATCAACCATTCAAAATCTGTTTCACAATATTTATTTTATTGTATAACGTCATTTTGGGATGTGAGAAGGAATTGGTAGAGATGATATTTAAATGAGGACAAGGAGGAGGCATGGCAGATTTCAGATGGCAAGGAATTCCAGAAGGCTGTGGATCGGGAAATAAAAGAATATTCAAACGTCTTAGTTCTATGGGAAGGGATATAAAGGTCGGAAACACGGGATCTTGTTTTCTGGGAGTAGGCCACGGGTTTAAACTGTAGGAGACTGTAGATGTAA